AATTCATTTTTTAGTTATAACAGTTTTTTGGTGGAATCTGTAGGATTTTCTACATACAAGATTATGTCATCTACAGAGACATTTTTGCTTCTTCCTTTCTTTTTGGATGCCTTTTATTTCTTTTGCTTGCCTAACTGCTCTGGCTAAGACTTCCAGCACTACATTGAATAGAAGTGGAGAGTGGGTATCTTTGTACTGTCCCTAATCTTAAGAGAAAAAGGCTTCAGCTTTTCACCACTGAGTATGATGTTAGCTGTGGGCTCATCATAGATGGCCTTTATAATGTTGAAGTACATTCCTTCTACATATAATTTGTTAAGAGTTTTTATCATGAAAGGATGTTGAATTTTGTTAGATGCTTTTTTTGCATCTACTGAGCATCTACTGAGATCACATGATTTTTATCCTTTATTCTGTAATGTCATGTATCATGTTTACTATTTGCATATAGTGAACCATCTTTGCATTCCAGGGATAAATCCCACTTGATCATGGTGCATGATCCTTTTAATGTGCTACTGAATGTGGTTTGCTAATATTTTGTTGAGCATTTTTGTTTTTGTTCATCAAGTCTATTTGGCCTATAATTTCCTTTTCTTGCAGGGTCCTCGTCTGGCTTTGGTCTGAGGATAATGCTGGCTTCAAAAAATGAGTTTGGAAGTATTGCCTCCTTTTCATTTTTTTTGAAGAGTTAGAGAAGGAATGGCATTCATTCTTTTGAAATTGTAGAATTCACTTGAGAAGCTATCATGAGTTTTTCTTTGTTGGGAGTTTTTGACTCATGCTTCAACTTCCTTGCTCATTGTGAATCTTTTTAGATTTTCTATTTCTTTATGGTTCTATCTCAGTCAGTTATATGTTTCTAGGTATTTATCCATTTCTTCTAGGTTATCCAATATGATGGCATATAATTATTCCAGGTAGTCTCTTATGGCCCTTCATATTTTTATATCAGGTGTAATGTTTCCTCTTTCATTTATTATTTTAGTTTTTTGAGTCCTTTTTTTTTTCTTGGATAGTCTAGTTAAAAGTTTGTCACTTTGTTTATTCAAAAAATCAATTCTTAGTTTCACTGATCTTTTCTATTGTCTTCCTAATTTCAATTTCATTTATTTCTGCTCTAATCTTTATTATTTCCTTTCTTCTGCTAACTTTGGGATTCGTTTGTTCTTTTTATAGTTCCTTGAGGTATAAAGCTATACAGTTTGAGATGTTTCTTTTTCTTAATGTAGGCATTTAACACTATAAACCACCCTCTTAGAATTGCTTTTTGTAGCATGCTATATGTGTTGATATGTTATGTTTCCATTTTGATCTGTTTCAAGATATTTTCTGATTTCTTTCTGATTTCTTCTTTGACCCAATGGTTGGCTAGTAGTATGTTGTTTATCTCCACATATTTGTGAATGTTCCAATTTTCCTTCTGTTACCAATTTCTAGTTTCATACCAATGAGGTCAGAAATGATACTTGATATGACTTATATCTTCAATTTGTTAAGATTTGTTAAGTGTCCTAACTTACGATCTATCCTGGAGAGTGCTCCATATGTGCTGGAGAAGAATGTATATTCTTCCGTGTTGGATGGAATGTTTTGTATATGTTTGTTGATGTGGAGTAAGGTGTTAGCAAATCTACTATATCCTTATTGATTTTTTTCTTGGATTATCTATCCATTGCTGAAAGTGGCATAATAAAGTCCTCTACTATTACACTGTGGCTATTTCTCTTTTTGGTTCTGTTAATATCTGCTTTATATATTTAGGTATTCCAATGTTTGGTGTATATATATAGTTACAATTGTTATATCATCTTGATGGGTTGATCTTTTTACTTTGCTGGGTATAATACTTTTGGCTGAAGTTTTTTTCTTCCTTCTATCAGCACTGTGTGTATATCATCCTACTTACTCCTGACATGCAAGGTTTCTACTGAAAAATGTGCTGACAGCCTTATTAGGATTCTTTTGCATGTAACAATTAGGTTTTCTCTTGTTCTCAAATTTTTCTTTTCATCTTTGATGTCTAGCAATTTGATTATACTGTGTCTTGCTTGGGGAATTTTGAACATCGATAAATATGAATGTCCATACCCATGTCCATATAATTTGGGAAGTTTTTAGTCATTATTTCCTTAAATAAGCTTTTTGCCCCTCTTTTTATGTCTTTTCCTTCTAGGACTCCCTCAATGCATTTATTTGTTCATCTGAAAGCATCCATAGGTCCTGTATGCCTTCTTTATTCTCTTTCTTTTTTGTTCCTCTAACTGCTATCTTGTAATTATCTTTGAGTTTGCTGATTCTTTATGCTGTCTGATTAAGTCTGCTCTTCAAGCTCTTTATTGAGTTTTTCAGCTCTGTCATTATATTCTATAGCCCCAGGATTTTTCTTATGGCCTCTCTTTATCAAACTTCTCATTTTGTTCGTGTATTTTTTTTTTATTGGTTTTGTTGCCTATTTGTGTTCTCTTGCATCTCATCGAGTTTATTTAAGATGATTACTTTTTTTGTTCTTAGTTTATTGTCAAGTTGGTTTCCATATAACACCCAGTGCTCATCCCAACAAGTGCCCTCCTCCATGCCCAACACCCCCCTTCCCGTCTCCCCCACCTCCACCAGCCCTCAGTTTGTTCTTAGCATTCAAGAGTCTCTCATGGTTTGCCTCCCTCCCTCTCTCCAACTATTTTTACCCTTCTTCTCTCCCATGGTCCTCCATTAAGTTCCTCTTAATCCACCTATATGTGCAAACATATGGTATCTGTCCTTCTCTGCCTGACTTATTTTGCTCAGCATAACACCCTCAATTTCCATCCATGTTGCTACAAATGGCCAGATTTCATTCTTTCTCATTGCCATGTAGTATTCCATTGTATAGATAAGCAACATAAGATGATTACTTTTAATTCTTTGTTAGGCAATTCATAGATCTCCATTTCTTCAGGGTCAGTTATTAAGAATGTTATTAGTTTCCTTTAGTGGTGTCACGTTTGTTTCCCTGATTCTTTATGATCCATGTAGCCTTATTACTGGTGTTTGAGTGTTTGAAAAGTAAACAGGTCTTCCAAAGACTCATTTTGGTAGGGAAAGACTTTCACCTGCTCTAGGCTAATGACATTGCCTACAGTATCAGAACAGAATCACAGGTGAGTGGAATTGGAGCTAGGTCATGTGGCTACATGCTGCGTATGCTATGATGTCTAGGGGCTTGGATAGGTTTAGATCCTATCTCATCCCTGGGTGGACCTTGAGGACCTTGCAGTAGGGCTGGAACTGGGACAAGGGCCCACTTTAGGGTCTGCAGTAAGTCCACAGATGGTGGGCTGGTTAGCAAGTGCATGGATAGGTGTGGCTCCCATGGCGTCGCTGGGTGGGCAGGTCTACTCCTGGACCATAGCTGAGACATGAGAAGGTTGCTTTAAAATTCACAGTTGGGACCAAGGTTGGCAGGCCTGACTCTGGAGACTTGTCTCCCACAGGGTCCCTGAGTGGGCAGAATGCTCCCTGACTAATGCTGAGAGGGTATGGAGCTAAGTCACAGGACTGGTTCAGGATCTGAAGTTGGACTAAGCTCACTGGGCCTACCTCTGGGGGAACAGACAGGTATGTCTCTTGCTGGATTCCTGGGCAGGAATGACTGCTCCTAGACCATGACTGAGAGAGGCTGGAGCTGGGTCATAAGCCATTTCAGAATCCACAGCGGAGACCAAGGTCAGCAGACCGGTTACCCAAGGCAAGGGCAAGCATGACTCCTCCTAGGTCCCTTGGCTAATGTTGCTGATGGCAGGACCAAAGCCAAACAGGACTATAAATGTGTCCATAGGAGCATGGTAGTGTTTCCAGGTCTGTCAGGATGAAAGGTGGTGACCCCCTATGTGGGAATAGGCCTGCCATCTCAAAACAACTTTCTTTGGTCTTAGGCTCCAGTGGGGTTTTGCAACCTCTTACCTGGATCCCAAAACTCCCACAAAGGCACGTTGTCCATGGGTGGCTGCCAGATTGCTTTTGCTGTGTGTGGGGAGCTACGATGGGGCACTTCCTATTACACTGCATTGGTTATGTTATTCCCTTCATTCCTATAGTTGTATGAATCACTTTTAAAATTAAAAAAAATTATTTTGATAGTTTGGTGCAATAGGACAAGGTATTCAAAACCAAGTCTGTGCGGCACTGAGAATTATGAAGTAATTAACTTATTTTATATTATTATTTAATTTACTTCTTAATCAAGTACATATAAAAGTTTAATTTTTCCAAGATCTATGAATAAAACTGGAATCAAGCACATTGGTGCAATTCTTCTTAGTTAGTTTAGTATGGATCTTTTCTGGCACAAACAAAAATCTATCCCAGATTTCAACTGCCTGAAGTCAAATCCACTATGAATTAAAACAAATGTGGGTATAAAGTAATTCAGGAAGGAGGCTATGCCTGAACAAATTAAATTACAAGTGCTGATTATGGTAACACCCAATTCTCTAATGCCTGAGTTTCTAGAGAACAATTATTAAAAAAAATCAGAATTTTATTTTATTTTTAAAGTTTATTTACTTATTTTTGAGAGAGTGTGAGCAGGGGAGGAGAAGATAGAGAGTGAAAGAGAATTCCAAGCAGGTTCTACAGTGTCAGTGTAGAGCCCAAATGGGGCTCAAACCCACAGACCATGAAATCATGACCTGAGCCAAAACCAAGAGTCAGACACTTACCTGACTGAGCCACCAGGAGCCCTCCAAAATAATCTGAATTTTAGAATAGCAAAGAAAAATATTGCCTTTTTCCAACTCTTAAAAACTATATGACTACTTGAACATTTTAACTGTACTATAGGTACTTTTTCTGATTCTGTCTCTCTCTCAATATAAATTTAAATAGATAGATGCCATTCTTAGCATTTTCTCTATAAGTTCCTAGCAATATTTTGGATAACTAAAGGTAAATATAACAATAACAGCCTCAATAAAAACAACTAAATAGAAAAAACGACATGACTGTCTGGTCTCTCTCACCTCCCCACGCAGTGGCTCCTCCAGAAGGTGGTGGTGGTGCTGGTGCTGCGGCTGCTGCTGCCCCTCCAGAAAAGTCTGGCTGGAGGTCCAGAAGATCACTAGATGGTTTGGAAGTGCTGAAAGTAAAATACAATTTTAATATCACATTTAAAAATTTTATAATGTAAAGATTCTTTTAAATAAAGACTGATGCAGAAAGCATCAAAGATTTTGGAAATTTTAAATCCAATAAGAGAATAATATTTTGGAAAGTATAGCACATGTTCTTCACTACCAAGGGTTAGCAAACTACTCTGAAAAGGACCAGAAGCTAAAGTATTTTAGGTTTGTGGGCTAGATGGTCTATCACTATGCCACTCTAATAGTGTAGCATGAAATAAGACAGACAATATGTAAACAAATGAACGTACATTTGTTCCAACAAACCTTTATTTATAAAAACATACAGCGGGCTAGATTTTACCAATAGGACATAGTTTGCCAACTCTTGTTTATATTCAATAATAGAGGTAAACCAAACTTCAAGCAATGGGCCACTCAACAAATCATAAAGCAGAAATGAAAGGAGAAAACCAAAATGCCTCAAATTAAGGGGAAATTTTATTAAATATATTAATGTCCACTGGGTAGCATCTGGTTATAAGTGTGATAAAAGGAAGTTTACTCCAAATATTATGGTAAGAATCATGCATAATTTTTCCTTTTCTATATTTTCTAAATTGTCTTATATGGAAAAAAATTGTCTAAGGAATTTATAAAGCAAAGAATATCAAAATCACTAACACACCCTTTTGATAAGTTAAACTACAACATATCAGGTTTGCCTATAAAAGAAACCTCATCTAAAATACTTCTATATTTTTTATTCTCATTAAGATTGGGGCTGTGCTTTTCAAAGCTCCTCCATCTGTAAAAGTTTCAAGGAGGAGCCTAGAGCTTTGCTATTCAAAGTGTTGTTTTCAAACTAGCAACATCCTGAGATACTATTAGAAGGTACAAAATCTTAGGCTCACCCCTTACCTGCTATATCAGAATCTTCCTTTTAACTGAGTCCCAGGTGTTTCATTCAGGTTTGAAACACACTGGTCTAGAGGCTACCATACCAGCTACCGATCCACCAGGGTCCCAGATTCCCCACCCCTCCTCTTAAATAGCAGTTCCATCTCTATCTTTCTCACATATTAGATTTCCAAGTAATATTCTTCCGAAGTAAGGATCCCTCTACATATTTTTTTTTCAAAGTACCTGAAATGAACCTCACTTTGATATCCACTTCATAAATATAACTGGTCTAAGTGTCAGGATAAGGAAACATATTTATGATTAAGACCTGAATCAAAGCTTTTATAAGAAGCAATATATTTTAGTATAGACACAAAAAGGACTTGGTTTTACCAAATTTGTGATTATAAAAAGAAGAACTCAGTAGTAGAGGGTAACGCACATAGTTAACATGGATACATAATGTGGTGCAAACTGCTGCTCAGTTTGAAATTCAAGTCTCCAAATATAGGGCATTCATAATAAGCCACAGATACTAAAAATCCTCTCAAGGCACCAGGACCAAACAAAGGTGACTGAAAATTATGATTTGAGGAAGCCTCTTTGAGTTGGGGCTTCATTTGAGGCAGCCTTGAGATTTGTACACACTGCAGTCATTCCCACTTCTCTCACTACTGTTAGGACACTTAGATGCTATAAAAGCTGATTAGGAAGATACTGATGGTCTCTTCCTACCACCAGTATCTGAGTTCCTCATAAGTACCATCTAAGTGGCCGACAACTGCAAGATTGGTTGGTTGGTTGGTTGGTTGTTTATTTATGCTTTTTTTTTCCCACAAATAGTTTATTGTCAATTTAGTTTCCACATAACACCCAGTGCTCCTCCCCACAAGTGTCTTCCCCCATGCACACACCCCCTTCCCTCACATCCATCAGTCCTCAGTTTGTTCTCAGCATTCAAGAGTCTCTCATGGTTTGCCTCTCTCCCCTTCCCCCACCATTTCCACCCTTCTTCTACCTTTGTTCCTCCGTTAAGTTCCTCCTAATCCTCCTAATGTGCAAACATATGATATTTCTCCTTCTCTGCCTGACTTATTTCGCTCAGCATAACACCCTCAAGGTCCATCCATGTTGCTACACATGGCCAGATTTCATTGTTTCTCATTGCCATGTAGTATTCCATGGTATAGATAAACCACATCTTCTTGATCCATTCATCTGTTGATGGACACTTAGGCTCTTTCCAT